GTGAAATTTCTAAAAGAATCCAAGAAGATTGGATTCATGCAATGAAACGGGAGGACTGGTCTGACTTGCTGACGAAATATGATCGTGTGTGTTGTAGACATTTTCAATCTAGCAGTATTAGCATTAGCTTGCCTCTATTGCAGAAGTGGCAGAAGGAATTTCGATAAGAAATTACAAAATTTCATAATGAAAACTATGTTAGATTACTATTTCCCTGAAAAATCATATTTCTTCGTCTCTCGCCGCATTTTTTGTGTATTGTATAACAGCACAATGAGGAGACATGCTTGAATTGATGAATAGCGCAAAAAACACGATTCGTATGCCAAAATATTGTGAAAAACTATTTTAATCCTTTGATTCCTTTGTAAACAAATAAAAAAAAGTGACGTTGTGTTTCAATGTTTTACAGAAAAGTGAGGTTGTGTTTCAATATTAGAGGGTCGGTTACCGTGCACGCGACCTCTATTATATTCAAAGTTCGCTTTTGGTAATAGGTACGATCAAGTTTTTATATTTTCTCCAACAGTCATTAAATTCGAAAGGATGTTTTCACTCCAGATTTTTAGGGGCTTATAATATGAATCCATAATTATTTCCATATCAATCCTCTATTATACAGTGCATCCCATAGTTGAAAGGAGTCTCCCTGAATAATACGATTTGAGAAGAAGTTTTCGCTGATACGTAGTCGTTTGATGTATACCCGTTGCATCACATTACAAACTCGGTATAATTGAATTTTAATTCGGAATGGAATAATATATAATTTAAAACCAAGAAGTTGATGTGAGTTTTAGAAAAACGGAGGCTATGTCAACATGGAAATGAAACAAATTATCTGACCACCACCCTGTGCAATTTTTGAAATCTGATGAACTGTTCCCGATATATTTGGCCGTTCCATCAGTACTTCGAGTCTGTAAATTATTGATGAAAATGAAAATAAAATGAGCGATTCTTAATAAATTTTTTTCGAGTGACATTTTATGCGGGTAATAACTCGGTAATAAAACGAATGTATTGAAATAGAAGGCAAAAAAAGTGCGGTGCACATTTTCAATTTCAAGTCAATGACTTGAATACATGCAAAATGCCATGACTGATGACTTTTATGCACTTCAGGGATTTAAAGGATACATTTTTTCGTTATTTTCGGGGGAAAAGTGGCATTTTGAATCCCTATAGGGATTTATAGTAAATTTCTTTGCATGTAAAGCTAAATTTAGTAATGTATTTTCGAAATGTCTGTTGCAATTTTGGCTTTTATCATCGAATATACGCTCCACAATGACGATGCTTTACGCTTTTTTGACTTTTCCAATAAATATGCTAGCAGTACCATTTCTTCTGTAGATTTTTCTACGTTCCGATCTTTGCACCATTTGATGAACTCAGATAACTGTTTTTATCTCCAGATTTTCTTGGTAATAATTGTTCAGCTTCTTGAGCTGCCTTTTCGATTTGTTCCATCGCGATCAACGTCTCTCAATCGGTGTGGCGTGTTTGACTAATATTTATTTATTTATGTTCTACCGTTGGTCAGGCTATAAACTTTTTGTCTAGGGATTTAAAATACCACTTTATAGGTGTATAATGTACTATCAATTTTTAGGTGGACAAAAATCCCAATATACAGTGTGTCTCACTTTCAATGGAAACACTCCTGTATATCTTACGTATTCGTTGGGTGATGTGGTTCCATGTAGTGATTCACACGAGACCAACGAGACGAGACTTGATGAAATATGAAGTCTTGTCTCGAGCCTCGTCTCGCAGCCTGGAGTCTCGTCTTGTCTCGCGTCTCGTACGAGAGTCTCGCAAATGTATCGCAATTTCGTCATGCATAATCTTGTCCCAGTCTAGTACGAGATATTTACCTTCACCTACTTTTTAGGTATAATGTAGAAGTAGGAAGAGGAAAATAACAAAAAAAAATGACATCATTTATTGAAAAGTAAGTACCTGCTAGGTACATAAATCATACGTCTAAACAAGAAAAAAAAACATAGCATTAAATATATTCGAAAGTTATAAAAATAAAATAAAAAGTAACACGTATATTCTAAACAACTAAACGAAAGAAAAACTTTATTCCAACATTATTTTTATCCAGTCGATAAGACATGAAGTTATTTTTTATCTTAGACTATTTAGCACAGAATGACTTATTTATAGATTTTCAGGTATAGTTATTCAATTTGCGATCTGTCGTTATTGCAGAATTGCCTTCATATTCCTCCGCCGTAAGAGAGAGAATAGTCCGTTTTCGTTTCACGAATTACGTCGTTTTACAACAATCATGGATTGAGTTTTTAAAGTATTTATGAATGAAATGTTGTCTTTCTGTGCTAAATAGTCTGAATTCTTTCTAAATATGTTGTGTTATGAATGAAATTCTCAAGTCTGCAGTCGGCACGCAGAAATATTTACCTGCGAGACTCTCGCACGAGACGAGACCAATAAAAGTCTCGTCTCGTCTTGTCCGAGTCTCGTCTCGAGTCTTGTCTCTTGGCTAGCAGTGTAAATCACTAAAGATGACCTCACTTGATCATAGAGTGCATATTTGGTATATCCCTCACTCCAGCAAATTTCAGTATCCTTATACCCAACGATCACGTAAGATACAGTACTGTTTCCATTAGAAGTGAGACACACTGTATATATTGAAGAATCGAAAATGCCGAACGAAAGTGTCCTATTATTCAAGTAATGCAACGAATGCGGCACAAACTCTAGGAAATGAACTGAATGACATCTTGGTGTATTCATTTATTTCAAGTAGCAATTGTTTTGTCTGGTCACGAATTTCACCGTGGGTTTCAATGCATCGAAGGTATAAAGCAATGTTGACTAGCTTGTTTTAATCTAATAGTATTGTATTCATTGCTATATCCTATAGATATACAGGTTGAATCAAAATCAGATATCTGATGAAGCGGGAAAGTGTGTACATAAAGTGGAAACCTGTGCAAACAAAAGTTGGGCAATACCTACTGTAGAGAGCAGAAAGACTGACGAACTTTATTTGAAAGGGACAGGGAATGGTGACGTTTTATCTGCCAGTAACATTTTAAAAATTCAATTGAATTGTAACGATAAAATTTTCATGTTAGAAACGTATACTCACTTGTAATATATCAGTTTACGTCAAGTCTGGAAAATCCTGACAGCTGACAGCGATTAGAAAAAAGAACAGTTTCCAGACGTATATTGCTCACCATGTAAAATAAGGAATGAAGCACACGCTTTCAGGAACATTTTTAGTTATATGGTACCTCAATTCGAGTACAATACAATCATGACTTTCCTAACTTTCTATACGTTATTCGGTAGAAAGAATAATATTCAAGTCGTCTCCCTATAATTATCAATAATCAAATAGATTATCTAAACTCACGTTGAAATGAAAAAATTTATGATATTGAACATAATGAAATAATGTACTCAATTAATTAACTGGTCATCCATAAAAACAAAAAATGTTTTCCAGTATAGCAACCGCGACATGATGAAATGACGAAAGCAAGAATCTATGACATCAGTCAAATATCAACCAGGACCGTACTCTGACTCAGAGGTCAATGAGATTACAATACACAATAACCGAAAACGAAACAGGATATGAAATCAAGAAGAGAGTCATCAGTCTTCAAATTTGAGAGTATTGAAAAATGTTTAACAATCAAAGTGTTTTGGTTCTTTCAGGGAAATAATATTGCCGTTTTTGAATGATTTAATGATTTAAAAAATCTTCAATGAATTGAGAAGAGGGCCTCTCTGACAAATATATATGTCAATTTCGAATGTTCACTAACACGAGTTTGGATCCTCCTATACCGCTTTGTTCAATATACTGTGCAAAACAATCAGATAGTGGGCAAGAAAGATATTCAGTAAAAATGAGAAATGTATTAATATCGGTTAATCTTTCTTTCATACTGAATTGGCCAAGAATTTTGATTTTTTCTTATCGATCTATGCTGAAAAAACTTAAAACACTTGAAGTTGAAAATATTAACAAAAACACGAAATTATAGTTTTGTATTGATCATCTAAATATTAAATATTAGTATACCTTCATAAAATTAAAATCATTCTAAAAATATTCTATATGTGCTTTCAAAATTTTCAAATGAAAAACGGTAGAGTTGTCTGAGAATTAAAAATTCTCTGTTAGGAAATTCATAAATATGGAGTTATACATTACTAGAATATTCGAAGAATCTAAATGGATTCAGTCTTTTTGTTATCAACGACATGGAGTTGATTGTTAATAAAAATACTCACCTTGTTTTTCAAGTTTGTCACCAGAATCCCAAATTACTTGCCTTTTTCCCTGACAATCTTTGACTAACTGCTCTTGCTTGAAATTATGAAACCTTAAAACAATACAATAGTTTTGACAAAAATAACAGGTGTTCATGAAGCTGAGTTTCAAAATGGTGTCACATATTAACCATACATTCTACAATTAAATTTTTCTTTGCTTACACTCTCGATATTATTGAATCACTTAAAAACATATTTCCTGAAAAATAGTTTCACTATAGTTTTTGAGGAGTTTATGAACAATTTCACTCAACCATATGCAGCTAGTAACAGTTCATGGAGGTGATTTCAGAGGTGTTTTTGCTTGTAAATTGAAAAAATATATGATTTTTCACGTTCATTTTTTAAATCATGTGAAGCACAAGCCAAAAAGCATCATCTTTGATGTTTTTCGAATTTTGATCATATGAAGTGAGGAAATGTCTTCCTTGTTTTTTAAAAAATTGGCTCAAAAGCATTAAGAGAATATCAAGATTATATGTGGAAATGACTTGTGTCTTGTTCCTACATCATAATATATTCACGCCATTTTGAAATTGGAATTCTACCGTAGATTGCGATAAGGCTGATTCGGACCTGTTTTTACTATCTTTATCTTCCGTTCAAGTCAGCAAATAAGTTCATATCACATCCCAACGGAAGAGTGAAACTTTTTGGAATTCGCTGTCAGCTTACCTGTCTTTCAATTCTGACGTTTACACCATTTTTGGTTTCTATTTTTTTAACTGTCGTCCCGTAGAATGATTTCATTTTGAACTCGAATAATGTCGAAGCTAGAACAAATACTACAATTAGACCCTCCGGTTGAACTCAAGTTCAGAGGACCATTCAACGCGACCAACTCCTCACGTCTGCGTCTTACGAACCCCTCTGAGAAAAGGATAATGTTCAAGATCAAGACAACAGCCCCGAAGAAGTACTGCGTCCGTCCGAACTCTGGAATCCTAGAACCAAGCGACAAGGCCGAAGTAGATATCTGCTTGCAGCCTTGCATGTACGACCCGACTGAGAAGAACAAGCATAAATTCATGGTTCAGAGCGCATTCGCTCCGAATGGAGACATCAACTTGGAAAATATTTGGAAGGACATCATTCCTGACCATCTCATGGATTCCAAGCTCAGGTGTGTATTCGATATTGCTACGGATCCGAACGAGGTTGAAGAAGAACCGCATAATTTCACTCCACGGACAGCTTCAACTCCTGTTCAAAAGGGCAGTGTGGACGGACATCTCCAAAGAAATGTACAGGAAGTGGAGGATGAACTGTTCTTGAGGCAGGAGAATATGAAATTGAAGGATGAAATAAAGCAATTGAGAGAGATTCCTGGACAGATGCCTTTTAAGTTAACATGGACACACGTTGTTTGCGCTGTGGTTTTGGCTGTTGTGGGAGTAGCGCTGGGGAAGTATATAATTTGAAGTCATAGTTTTCAGAAAGCCTCTTTCAGTATATTTATCTTATATTTAATGTATATATATGGCAAATAAACACTTCCAGCACTTTTTTACTATTGATAAAATTATTATAGATAATAGATACATGCAATAGTTTCACAACGTCAAGGGGAAAAGAGAATGTGTAGAACGATCCTGAATAAACCATGTTTCATCTTATGGAAAGATTATTCAAATACCGCCTGGTTGATAATGTTGATATTCCCTCGAAATATAATACATAATACATTCCTTATAAACTATGATAATACGGCCCTATCGTTCAAATCACCCAAGAATCAATTTATCTCATATAAAGATTGTCCAAACTGCTATATACAACAAATCATATATTTTGTTACCGCAACAATTATTTTTTGTTAATTTTCAACTTGAAATTTTTCAATGTGAATCATTTTGATTCAAATCAACAGCAAAAAGTGGTTGATTAAACTAAGACTTCTTTGTTTCAATAATAAAATACCTCCTATGATGAACACATCAACAGATTGAAATGTTATTTTTTTTATCTCTCGGAGCGCACGAAAGGAAATTCCTATTATTTTCGAAAAACATCGCGCGTACCTACGGTGAATATGTTGAAAAAACAATATCATCAAATGATGAATTTCATTTGATCAACAAAACTTCATTTAGGAATGAAGACTATCTTGTTGAATAAAACTGATAAAATTTTCCATAAACTGAAATTACAAACTGGGATAAATTGAAGAGATCAATTTTCTCAGTTGATACGGTATTAGAAGTTCTTGGAAAGCTTATAATATAATTAAATAAACGGACGTTCTAGGTATATTTATATACACCCTAATCAAGGCGAGCATTATGTATGTACGTATATGTATATCTACGTACCTAAGGTGGAAAAAATACCTACGTCATCTAGTGGCGAAAATGCAACTATAGATAATCATTCAAAAACATATTTTTTCTGTGACGGGAAAAAAGTTTGACATTTCATCTCTGTTGGCAGGTTATAAAATGTCACTTTTCATAAATTACTTTTTTCCCGTGGGAAAAAGTGAGTACTTTTTTCCCGCGGATATATATCACATATATATACAGGCTGATCCACGGTGGATGGCACATTAGACGTTTCTGGTGAACCAGACAACGGATCATTTTGAGAATTCAATGGTGGGCATATTCGGACATTCTCTAGCCAACTAAAATATTTTCGACAATGCGGTGTTGCCGCTTCTATTAGAAAGCAGTAGCAACTTTGATTTTTCAAATGGAACACTCTGTATTTCATTGCATTTTTAGATTCTTCCTGAAGAGCTGATTTCATCGATGTATCACACTTGGGGTCTAGCGGAAATGATTACAGAGATATAGGGTGTGAAAAATCGACATTTTTCAACTTTAGGATTTTTTTGTGTCGAAACTATTCATCATTGGTCGAAACGGCTTACATGTCCCTATCTCAACTTTTGATTAACTATCTACTGATATTTAATTGGGACATATACCGGGTGATCAAGATTCTGAATTCTGCACCACCCTGTATTTGTTTCAATTAAATGTTAGTAGATAATTGATCAAAAGTTGAGATAGGGACATGTGAGCCGTTTTGACCAATAATGAATAGTTTCGACAAAAAAAATTCCTAAAGTTGAAAAATGACGATTTTTCACACCCTATATCTCTGTAATCATTTCCGCTAGACCCCAAGTGTGATACATCGATGAAATCTGCTCTTCAGGGAGAATCTAAAAATGCAATAAAATACAGAGTGTTCCATTTGAAAAATCAAAGTTGCTACTGCTTTCTAATAGAAGCGGCAACACCGCATTGTCGAAAATATTTTAGTTGGCTAGAGAATGTCCGAATATGCCCTCCATTAAATTTTCAAAATAATCCGTTGTCTGGTTCACCAGAAACGTCTAATGTGCCATCCACCGTGAATCAGCCTGTATATTGTTAATGGATTTTGTGGTGCTATAGTTCCGAAAAATGAGTCAATAATACCGTCTCCGAGAAAGAACTGCAAGTCCTTTTATCTTCCATTCGACTTCGCGGTTTCGTATATTACTAAACAACTACTAAATTCGCAATTTTTCAAAATCAAATCACAGAATTGAACTGACAGAAGTGACATCCGATATTTGATTACTTCGAAAGAATGATAAAGATGTCTATAAAACGCAGGTGTCCCTACTGTTAAAAACTTGAAATTTCACGTCGATAATTTTCAGATTTCGAAATAATATAATATCTTCTCAATATTGATTCGTACTTCCTTCTATCACAGAAAAAAATAGTGTATTATACACGGGAAAAATATTAGATTTTAGCTCACGGTTTTTTGTCTCCCTCCGCTACGCGTCGGGAGACAACACAACCTGGAGCTAAAATCTACTACTTTTTTCCCTTGTATAATAAATAACTATTGTTTCATATGAGGTATTTCTTGATATTGCAACAAATACCTCTAATTGAAATTATTTGTATTTCGTCGATATAATAAAATGCATAAAATTGGTCAAAATTCGTCATGATCTGGAGAAAATTCAGCTGTATGTTGAATCAATAAATATAATATTGTCAAAATCAATTTAATTTTGTCGAATTGAAAAAGAGTATATATTATAATTGATTGACCAATGAAATGATTGTGGAAACAACAAAATGTGGTGTTGTTCTCCGTTAAATCTTTGTCAAAAATAATCCGATTTTGTCAAATAGACAAAATGCATATGATTGCCTGAACAATGAAATAACAGTTGAATCAACAAAATATTTTTCATGTCAACCATAAATGTTGAAAGAAATGAAACCTTGTTCAAATAAGCAAACATTTCAATCAAAATATGTATATTGTCCCTTCGAATGGGTCGCTTATTTGGAATGAATATACAGGGTGGGTCACGGTAGATGGCACCTTAGACGTTTACGGAGAACGGGACATTAGATCATTCTGAAAATTTGGTTACTCAAATAATTGCTCTTGATCTATCGATCTAGAATATTTTCAGCTCTGCGGCGTTGCCGCTTCTATCGAAAAGTAGCAACAACTTTGTTATTTCAAATGGAACACCCTGTATTTCATTGCATCTTCAGATTCTCCTTGAAGAGCTGATTTCATCGATATATCACACTTGGGGTCTAGCGGAAATGATTACAGAGATATAGGGTGTGAAAAATCGACATTTTTCAACTTAAGGAATTTTTTTTGTCGAAACTATTCATTATTGGTCAAAACGGCTTACATGTCCCTATCTCAACTTTTGATTAACTATCTACTGATATTTAATTGGGACATATACCGGGTGATCAAGAATCTGAATTCTGCACCACCCTGTATTTGTTTCAATTAAATGTCAGTAGATAGTTGATCAAAAGTTGGGATAGGGACATGTGAGCCGTTTTGACCAATAATGAATAGTTTCGACAAAAAAAATTCCTAAAGTTGAAAAATGTCGATTTTTCACACCCTATATCTCTGTAATCATTTCCGCTAGACCCCAAGTGTAATATATCGATGAAATCAGCTCTTCAAGGAGAATCTGAAGATGCAATGAAATACAGGGTGTTCCATTTGAAATAACAAAGTTGTTGCTACTTTTCGATAGAAGCGGCAACGCCGCAGAGCTGAAAATATTTTAGATCGATAGATCAAGAGCAATTACTTGGGTAACCAAATTTTCAGAATGATCTTATGTCCCGTTCTCCGTAAACGTCTAAGGTGCCATCGACCGTGACCCACCTTGTATATATTTTGTTGATTTCGCTAATCTTTGTTCAATTCAACAAAAATAAAATGACCAGAATAATTTCATTGGTGCAACTAAACTTTTTTTTCCGTGCAGAAATCGATGACAATCAAATGACAAATGATGCCAGATTTGATCCTTCGATCTGATTCTTTATTTTATTTTGCCAACCTGATATGCTGATCCAAGACGATCTTGAAGAAGGTGAACTGGAATGTGTAAATCGATCGATTTCCATATCCGCAGAAAATAAAACATTCGCGGTTCAAAATTATATTGTGTTACATGCAGAAACTATATACACATTATTAAATTACATGGAGAACATGCTACATATTTCTGTCCACATGGGAACGTCAGATGTAATTAGGTATGCTTATATGTCATATTGATTATCTTCAATTCTTTTATATTCGCATCTATTAATTGATTAATTAATTTTAAAAAACACCTATACCTGCATATTTTTTACAAGATTAACGGCAGCTTGAACTAACCTCGCTGAATATATACAGTGCATGAGTGCAACAAGTATTGTTGAATTACTTCTGCTAGATATAAAGTGCTCAACACATGAAACGTAAAATGGCATTTTTTCGATCAAATTTGAATCAGCATAACTTTCGATTTCCCCAACCGATTTTCAATTATTTTTCAGTTTCTGAAAGCTCGTTTCATTGACTATCGAACCTATGGATATGACTATTTAATCTTTGCAGGATGAGATTCTACGGGATGATAATCAAAGCTGTGCATTTTTCCAAAAATTTCAAACGCCTCCCGTTTGAAAAAAAAAATGTTCTATTTTTTTTTGGGGTGAAAAACAGATTGCTTCATATGTCTTCTCGATTCTGTGAATAAATTTTTAGAATTGTGACACGCGTTACTGAAATATGAATGTTTTATTAAGATATACAGGGTGATTCAGGTTTTAAGGCACAAACTGAAATGGAAGATTGATCTCATAATTTTAATCAAAAAAAAAATTTAACATTAGTCCGATCTCGTTTAGTAGCGGAGCTACAGGGGGTCAAAGTTGAATTATTTTTTTCTATTAATTGAAATATCTCGCTTACCTTTCAAGATATCGCTTTGAAATTTGGTGTGGTCTTTACTTTCTAGAAGATCATCATTTCAAGCCATTTAAATATTTTTAAAATTTACAGGGTGATACATTTTTGGGGGTAGAGACTTCTTTATCCTCCTTAAACTTTTTCGTAGTACGCCTCTGGCATCTTTCAGTGATCAAATTGTGTGGATCGTTCAATTTAGAGGCTTTCTTGCTCTTTCATTTTTTTCTAGAAAAGAACCGTTTTTGAAATAAATAAGCATATACGTTCTAAAACATGTTTGCCTATGTTTCGCTAACATTCTATTTTCGTTGAAAGTGCAATGAAATGTACTCACTAAAATTGCAATCACGAGTCCAATCTGGATC